GGGGGGGGGGGGGGGGGGGGGGGGGGGAAGGGGGATGTAGGTGTGTTGCACCAATGGTGGGATGGGGATGTCTTCTTTGGCGAGGTTTTGTAATTTGTTGTCTTTTGCCGTATAGAATATGTGGAGTTTATCGCTGTATCTAGCCTGTGGACTGCATAGGGATCGTGGCATTACCCGGCTACTTCAAGGCCAACAGACTCTCGAAAATGGCAGCGGAATGGTCGGGGGGCAAATGTGGACTGTAATGTCCCTTGGACCGGACATGCGGGATACGCCTCTCAGGCCTAAATTTGGTCCAGGTGCATAATCACCCCTGCAGCAATGCCTACCCTTAACAAGCGGGCCTCTCCAACTTGCTGGGAAGTCTGTGTCACATCGCTGCCGAATTTCCTAACCATCCCCTGCATGCCCTAGACTTACCTGTAGATACTCGTGCTGCTGAAGTTCAGTCCTACCCCTGTATCTACACCTATTGCATTTCTACCCTTCCTAAGACTCAGAGCCACAGCATGGCCAAAGAGCTGGCACTCAGGCACCTGTAATCGACCCAGGAGTTCTTTTTTTGGGGAGGGAGGGGGGCGGAGGGACCCAGGACTTATCAGGAAGATATGCATTCATTCACGGGCAAGCCAACACACTTCAGATTTTTTATCTGCATGACATAGTTTTTTTTTCGGAATTTTTTGTTTTTTTTTTCCCCCACGGACCTTCCCTGGCCCTCAAGGTGACCCGACCGGTCCGGTTGGTAACAGTGTAACACAGCTCCAGATGCTCTTTTTTTTTTTAACCATTTCTTGATATAAGCGTGTCAACCTTGCACAGGGGCCATGCTAATCTTCTCTTCTCTGCACTGTAATTATCGTTCCAATTTCAGTTTATATTATTTTAGCAGGTTCCCCGAAGGACAGCAAATTCAGAAATCTAAGCAAGAAAAGATAAAAAGCGAACGACTTCTCATAAAATGACAAGAGTTGTCCCTCTGGACATGCGCTAAAATTGGAATGATACCAATTGGTCTATACCCATGAACTGTTCGAATAGCAACTTGCACGCATTAGTGAGGAGGAGGTGGAGGCAGAGGGAGAAGGAGAAGGAGAAAAAGTTAGAAACACAGATGGAACTAGATGAATGAAATGCCAGTCAGTTCAACGCTGATCTCTCAAGTCATTGGATCAGTACCTCTGGGCCTCAGCCCTCCTCCGTGCAAGCACAGACTCGAACCGACGACCTCGGCCTCAAGAGCGAAGTATCGTAACCACTACACGCAGGACACGGTGTTCAAAAGCGGAACCATATCCTCCCGACCCCTGCAAGGCTGTAGTGTCCATTGTCCACACTCAACACACACCACACGGATCTCTCAAGGCCGTCGCCCTTGTATTTCTTTTTTCTGTTAATTTATAAATACTCGGATTCTTCCGCATTTCACTACCTACTCCTAAGGCTATATAGAGGGGACCTATCTACGGGGGGTAGTACCTAAGCTCCTAACCCCCAGTGAGGGATGGCAGGGGCAAGGGTGAGGGAACCCTCATATAAAAGGGAAAAAAAGAGAAAAATAAAATAAAATGGAATGATACACAGTAGATTAGCATGACCCCTGCTTAAGGACACGACACACATGAATCGAGAAATGTTCCAAAGACTTCCCCCAGAAAATTAAAAAGAGGACAAGAACAGACCGTGATTTGCACTGATCAATTGCCAGTATCTCAATTGTGACTTCGTCAAAGCTTTACCCTGTTTTCACATTTCGTGTAACGAATCCAAGAGCTCCCTCTGTTGACAGTTTAACAGTAACATTCAAAGGTCGATATGCTTCAAAAATCTTGACCCTGTTTTCACATTTGACTCGTGATTGAGGCATTCAACATCCAAACGGTGTCCACTACCTGTTGGCAGCCTTGAAGTTGCATTCACTTCTCCAAATAGCTTTCTAAGGTCCAAGTCATTTGCACGCCCTCGGGTCCATCGTACCTCATGTCGCATAATGGAACTGGATAAGGAGCGGGTAGGACCGGATAAGAACTGGTTAAGGACAGAATAAGGACTGGATAAGGACTAGATAAGGAGTGGACAAGGAGCAGATGAGGACTGCATCAGGACTGGATAAGGACTGGGTAAGACAGGATAAGGACTGTATAAGGACTAGATAAGGAGTGGAGAAGGGCTCCGTCAGGACTGGGCAGGACTGGATAAGGACTGGGTTGGGTAGGACCGGATAAGGAGTAGATAAGGAGTAGATAAGGACTGGATGAGGACTGGATGAGGACTGGATGAGGACAGGGTAGGCCTAGATAAGGAGTGGATAAAGAGTAGATAAGGAGTGGACGAGGACTGCATCAGGACTGGACAAGGACTGGGTAGGACTGGACATAAGGACTAGATGAGGAGTGGAGAAGGCCTGCATCAGGACTCTATCAGGACTGGGTAGGACTGGATAAGGACTGGGTAGGACTGGATAAGACGTGGATAAGGAGTGGACTTCACGTCACATGATGGAATTGGATAAGGTCGGGGTAGAACTGGGTAAGACCTGGATAAGGACTAGATGAGGAGTGGATGAGGACTGCATCAGGCCTGGATAAGGAGTGGATAAGGATAAGGAGTGCATATGGAGTGGATAAGGACTAGATAAGGAGTGTATAAGGACAGGGTAGGGCTTGATAAGGAGTGGATAAGGACTGCATCAGAAGTGGATAAGGACTGGATAAGGACTGGATAAGTAGTCGATAAGTTGTGGATAAGAACACATGAAAGCATATCTGGCTGCGCTGGTACATGGAGAGAACCTCTCTGTAGCCGATGGAGCTACCTCAATCCTCACAGATGGTGTGACCATTAGCCTGCTTTCTAGGTTACTAGGGAAATTGGTTACAACTTACAACTATGTTTTTCAGGTTATTGGGGAAATTGGTTGAAACTTGAGCTGGTTCCCGTGCAGCCCGGCTGGGGGAAAGTTGCCTGGGCACCCTCCCGGGCGGCCCGGGCCGGGTCCTGGGCAGTCCTAGCGCATAATATTTAAAAAAATAGGGAAAAAAAATCAACACAATCCGAAAAAAAAATGTTGTGTAAAATTGCAATACAAACAACTTTTGGCTGAGGGTCCCCTCAAAATTCCTTATTAATTTTAAGATAACAAGTCAACCCGCCGCAGCGAAGCCGCGGCCCACCGCCAGCCCCACCCCAGGCACGGCCATTATCTGGCCCGGGCGACATTGAGGGTGTTTGTTTTAGAACATGAGGGACACACAACATTCGGGGGGGCATCGGCCAAGGCATCAGCACGCCGTCGGATCCTTTGTAAATCAGAACTATTTTAGTGTGGTCGCCGCTGGGTTCAAACTTACGTCTGGAATTCAACAGTTTCATGTGTGCATCGACTTAGCAGCCTGCCAATGTGCAAAATGAGAAGGAATCTTCTGCAAGAACATAGGAAGATACACCGCGACGGACAGATACATTGAAAAGAAATCCTGGTGGGAGTATGGACTAAGGAGCTGTCAGATGCAAATGTCACCGCGCGCGCGAGC